CAGAACGCCACAACTACGTATACTCCTTACTAAAACCAGTTGACTTGCTCTAGGGTCCAATGAACACACTGTTGCAAACTGCAGTACATAAGATTTGACCTTGATCCTTGCCAATGAGTGTAGCAAGTGTCAGACGGCGGAATCATGGAATAGATGCACCCTTCAAAGTTCATCACATAAAAAGCAGAGTTGCTATTTGCAGCACTGCCTTTCGCTTTAATATCATGGGGATTACAGCTACTACGGAATGAGATGCTATACAACTGAAAAGTTACTTACCCTTGTCGTCCTGTTCGATGCTGAAGTAGTGTCAGAGCCTCTGCCCACTTGTGCTCGCGAAGAACGAGGCAGTGTACCATGGCGAGTGACATCACGAACATTCGCATCCGAGTGAGGAATTTGTGGGCGAGTCACGCTAGGTGCACGCACGTGAGGACGAGTAACACTTGGAGGTCGAACAGCAGGACGAGTGACACTAGAGGAGCGAGCTGTTGAACGAATGTTTGAAGGGTGTGGTGCGATTGGAGCTCTTGTAACACTGGAAGCACGAGGAGCTGGACGAACTAATGGAGCCGGTGGCGGTCGGGTAACGCTGGAAGCACGAGGAGTCGGACGAACTGATGCACCACGTTGCGGTCGTGTAACATTAGAAGCGCAAGTCATGGGAACAACATCAGACCTTTCTGAAAAAAAAAAGATTTTTTGCCGCGCTAAAACCAATTACAAATAAGCATTTACGAGCCTGTAGACTTACTAGATGGAGGCCCAGCTTTTGCATGGAGTCCGTCTGTGGTAGACTGCTTGTGCACATCTTTTGGAGTGGATGCAGCACGCTCGCAACTGCCAAGGCTAGAATTACGACGGAGTAGCTCCTGGTGAAACTCGCGTGCGCTAGGAACTGCTTTGTTCTTCAAGAAAGATCCTGAAGGAGATTGAATAAGCACCTCTTATCAACATTCTTTGCAAAAAAAGTACCTGAATCTGAATTTTGCGGGCGTTCATGGCCGATACGTACAGGATAAATGCGTCCCAATCCAGAAGATCTACTGCTTGTTGTAGTACGGGGAGCTCGATTGCGAGAAACACGTTCCGGCTCTGTGTCTAATCTCAACTGACGAAGACCATGTTCAATGTTCTGAAAAAAACAATTTTTCAGATTCATTAAACAAAAACTTAAAAGAAGTAGCTACCTTAATAGGGATGTTGTGAGATTCTGCTGTCGCATTTGAATGTGCAGTTGCATTTTCGACTCCAGTTCTAGAAAGCAACAACAAATGCAATCTTTTCGATTTTTTTATGTGCAAGGAAAGAGTCAAACCTAGACTTCAGCTCTTTACTGCGCGCGCGAGTAATGGGTCCCTGAGGAGACTGTGCTGTTGTACGAGCGGTCTGCCTGGAAA